CAGCCCCCCACTGCCCTTCCAGGGGGCTGGAGAACACAAAATCTACTAGGGTGGGCCCCTCTTAGGCTCTGGTGTGCTAGGAGAACATGGGGAATGGCTTTCTTCTCAGTTGGGGAGCCACATCTATGAAGGCTTTTTTTTTTTTTTTTTTTTGCTTCTCATTTGTGTGTGGCCCCTGAATGACTTTTCTGTGGGTCAGTGACCCCTAACCTGAAAAAGGTTCTTTGCCTCGCCCTATAGTCTTTTTAGAATATGAAGACCTTGTGGCCCTCAAGGCACATCTTCCCCAGTCACTTATACTCTTCACAGAAAATCAAGCAACTGAAGCCAGGAAACTTGTGTCATTGCTACTATGGAGGAAACAGTTCTGGTTGCAGTGTCTGCTGTAGTAAGTGAAATCATGAAGGATGTCTTTGCCAAGAGCTGACTTTATAAGATGGTGTTAAACTATTGGATGAGAGCGCAAAGATTTAGAATTCCTGGCATGGATGTAGTATAGCTTATTAGCCTGCTTCCATGGGGATGGAGAGGGCATTTCTAGAATTCATCAGGTTGTCTTGGCTGGCTCAAGAAGGGCTTAATTAATTGACAATGCCATACATATTTAAGCAAAGTATGCATTATGTCCAGAAGTTAGTAATGGAATTCCTTTACTTCTTCCAAGAGAATTTGCAGGGTGTCAGTGACTTGTTTCATCAGGTCCTGGAATTGCTAAAAGTCATCAACTAGTGGTGATGGTATAACTGCTTTGTGAGGTGGTACAGTAAAGTAAGTACTTTTTTCTTTAATATTTTTGTAACACAATTTTTTTCAGAATTTCAGGAAAAAAAAGATGAAGTTGCTGTGACATACTCTGTTTGTATTAATAGTTCTAGTTTAAATTATTGATTTAAAACCTTATTTCAGGAAACTCATGAATAATGCGGATGAATACCAGGCACATGGCACAGTTTGACTAAACATTGAAATAATTTGTATTTAAAATTTAACATTCATGTCCTGTTAGGAACAATTTCCAGTCAATATGAATAAATTGAAAAATTAAATCGTTCTTTCAGACTTTGTCCAATCTTTCATAAGTAACCATCTTAATCATTTCATTGTATCATTCCTATAATTGTGGGAAAAATACCACCTTCCAACATTGAGGAATCAGATCTTGTCCAATAGGAGGTTTTAGACTAAATTGCTAACATTTAGTTTGCTTTCTGTAAAAAATAAGTTAGCTGACAGTAGAATGCTCAGGTTGAAAATTTTAATTCTTGAGGGCGTGAACCTTTCTAAGGTTTCTGCTCAAAGGGTGTTCCTGTAGCATGTTCATCAAATACCTCCAGATGCTCAACACCTCCAGTCTGTACTGCTATCTCTTGTATCACCTCTGTGCATTCTGTAAATAATTCTGTACACATTTGCCATGTAATATATCTTTCAGAAAAGGTTCTGTGACTGTCTGCAGTAGATAAAGTCCCTTATATCTCAGTTGTAGAAATCTTAAGAGTTCTCGCTCTGTGCTCAGAGTGGGGAGCTAGTCTAAAATCTTTATGACTATAATGCTATTGGTAGCAAGAAGACTATAAAACAGGGAAAAATCTAGTTCTTTGGATCTGCTTTTGTGGGATTTTTTTTGTTAGAACTTCAGGCAGGGCTTTGGAGCAGAGCCCGGAGCTGGAGCGCAGAGCAGTGGAGCTGCAGGTTTTTGCCCGGAGCAGAAGTGCAGCCTGATCACAGAAAGTCTTGACTGCTCCACTGCTCCAGTTTTTTTGTGTTTTTTTTTTTTTTTTTTTTTTTTTTTTTTTTCATTTTCAATCCAAAATGAATGATCGCAAGGAAGTCCTAAAGGTGCCAAAAAGTTTCAGATTGTATAACAATTGATATTAACATCTACTTTACTACTAATATGTCACTGTTATTCTCACTTTGGCCGAAATCAAGATTTAATGTACAGATAAAACATATCTCCAAAAAACTTTGTAATTTTGTAGTAATCAGATAATTATCAGACGTCCGGCAACACTGCAGACTGCTCCCACCCTTGTGCCAAGGTTAGGCGAGTACGTACTCGCGTAGATTAGTTAGTTAGATTAATATGTGTTTATTTTCAATCTTGTAATGTGTAGCCTCGTTACTTCCCAACAGTTAATGTTGTAGAACAGCGATAGCACGTACTAATGCTACGGCACATACCAAATTTCATTGATATATCTATGTTAAAGCATTTTTGAGAGAGTAATTAAAAACTTAGAAAATATTTTGAATATTTTTACTGCAAAATTTCATGAACTAACTTGCAATTTATAAATCAAATTTTATATTAATTATGTATATTAAAAATACTTCATTAAAACTGCAAGAAACATGTTAAAATATTAAAATATACTTTAATAATAATTTTGTGTAAAAAGAAAATGTGATCATTTTTGTCCAGAAAATCCAAAATAAATTCGAAGTACCTTAAGTGGTTAAGCTATCTCAAGCAGGTACATTATAAAAAAATGTAATGCTTTTTGTTCATTGCTTTTCAAAGATCATAACAAAAGGCATTTGGATACAGTAGCAGCACAAGAAGATTTGGCCATGGCTTCAACAAAAAAAATCAAATCTGCCCCCCATGATTGATAGCTGATTTACGGAAAAGGATCTCAACGATGTCTTTACTTGTGAAGACTTTGGGCTTTTGGGAAAAGCAAAGAAGAAATTGGCAAGGTGGAAAAGGAAGTGAATTGCGAGCTCAAACCATGTAGCTTCAAGACAAGTGAAGCAACTGCCGTGAAAAGTTTCAACCTTTGACAGCATGTAAAATGTAACCATCCTGAAAACTGTGTGTCTCTGGTTACAAAAAAGGACCTGGAAGATGAGGCAAAACAAAAGGCTGACGCTGCTAAACGACGTTCATCTGGCTCTTTGAAAACTCCTGGAGAAAAGATTTTCTGCAGAGCTTCACCTGAAAAGAAATCCAAAATTAGTCAAACAAAACTTGACTCATTTTTGAAGTCCTCAAAGGTAACAGTCACCATGGATGCCAATACTTTCCATGAAGGGCTGATGGAAATGGTTTGCTTGAGTTCAACACCGCTCACTACCTGCAGGCTAAAGAACAAAGGATTCAAAAAATTTGCAGGTGAAATGGGTCGGCAGGTTGGCGTTTCGACAGGGCACGATGCAGTTCATTATTTAGTTGTCAGCACAGCTGAGTCTGGTTGCAAAGAGCTCAAGAAAGCTTTGGAGCAAAAATTGTGCTACCTGAAAATGGATGCGGCAGCCCATGGAATCAGAAATTTCCTTGCAATCGATGCTCAGTATGACGAAGAAGGAAAAGATAAAGCTGTGGTAAAAACCTTAGACATAATCGACACTGAAGGGTGTCGCAATTCTTCCTACGTGAAAAGTCAAGTAAAAGCTATTTTAGAAAATTTTGGGATCAGTGAAATTCAAGTGCTGAGCATCTGTGTTGACAATGCAGCAAACATGACGTGTGTCATCAAAAATTTCAGCAAGGACAATGAAACCATTTCTACCTCTGAGAACAGGAATGTGGACAGAACTGAAGCTATTTTGCCTGATGAAGGAACTAAAGTAATGGATGAAATTGAACTCCACATTGCTACTGCCGCGCAGTGGGTTAATGACCCTAGCTAGCCTCATACTTCCAACATGGCTTCATGAGGACTACTCAAAAGTCCAACCAATGAGGTGTGGTATTCCAACTCTTCAGTTGGCAATCTGGGATGGAATGAACAAAGAACATGCGAAGAAATTTCTGGCAAAACTTCGACAAGTCGTCACTACGAACCCCAAGTATTCGAAGTGTTCTGCTTGATCTACATGGGGTAACTCAGTCATTAGAAACTATGACTCACTGGGGTTCAACATTTGCGATGTCTGATCAGCTTCTCGTTTTTCAATCTTACTGTGAACAAGTGGCGGCTGCTGCTGCTGCTGGAACAAGAGAACTCAAGTTAACAAAAGCTGAATGGGATGAAGTGGAGAACCTGCAAGACCTCTTGGCAAAACCAAACAATCATAAATCTTCAAGCTGTCAATGTAACCACAGGAGTTTTAATGAAGGAATGGTGAAAACTGTCAAAATTCTTGCAAGAAAATAGTGGACAAATTGCAGAAGGAATTCTGTCCTCTGTGCAGAAACGCGAAGAGAAGCTTTTTGACAATATTAATTTCCTTGATGGACTTTGTTGACCCACGGTATTGGATTCTTCTTACCTCAAGGGAAATACCAAAGGAAAAGGAAGGGCTCCTTGATATTGCTCGACAACTCAAAAAACAAAATCTATTGCTACATTTGAACTTGGCGAAAGAGGTTGAAGAAAACGAAACAACAAAAGGAGTCATCAACAATTGAATTTGCGGTTTCGGAAAGTTCACATCTTTCAGAAATAGCAGGCTGTTCTCAAACTTCCATCTCCACTCTGAACTTATTCGAGCATCCATCCCTGAGACGTCTTCAACCATCACAGGGAAATGGAGATAATTTAAGCACCAATTCTTCAGAAGATGACTACTTCAAAAAGGAATTGGATAAACAAGAAAGACGCCAGCGAGTTTCTGCGATTCATAATTGTAACGAAGCATTATTCGAGAGAAACTTTCAGGAAGATTGTGAAGCGATGAAGTCTATTGGTAGGCTAAAAGTTGTCTGTTTTTGAGGCCATTCACAGCTACCCAGACGGCATTCAGGCTGCCTGGAGAATTGCTTTGAGCATGCCAACAACTCAAGGTAGTGTAGAGCGACTGTTTTCGGCTTTAAAGTTAATTTTAAATGATCTGCAGCAGCTATGAAAGACGACTGGATTGCTGCAATAATTTTTTTACAGATTGAATTATGAATGATTGTTGATGACATTTACATTGTTTTAAAACTCTGAATAAAAATAATGTTTTTTCAAAATAACAGTATGCACTTTTTTATTTCGTTAAATAATTTGAGTCCGAGTGGAGCTGGAGTAGTCACTCTTGAAAGGCTTTTTTTTTTTTTTTTTTTGCTTCTCATTTGTGTGTGGCCCCTGAATGACTTTTCTGTGGGTCAGTGACCCCTAACCTGAAAAAGGTTCTTTGCCTCGCCCTATAGTCTTTTTAGAATATGAAGACCTTGTGGCCCTCAAGGCACATCTTCCCCAGTCACTTATACTCTTCACAGAAAATCAAGCAACTGAAGCCAGGAAACTTGTGTCATTGCTACTATGGAGGAAACAGTTCTGGTTGCAGTGTCTGCTGTAGTAAGTGAAATCATGAAGGATGTCTTTGCCAAGAGCTGACTTTATAAGATGGTGTTAAACTATTGGATGAGAGCGCAAAGATTTAGAATTCCTGGCATGGATGTAGTATAGCTTATTAGCCTGCTTCCATGGGGATGGAGAGGGCATTTCTAGAATTCATCAGGTTGTCTTGGCTGGCTCAAGAAGGGCTTAATTAATTGACAATGCCATACATATTTAAGCAAAGTATGCATTATGTCCAGAAGTTAGTAATGGAATTCCTTTACTTCTTCCAAGAGAATTTGCAGGGTGTCAGTGACTTGTTTCATCAGGTCCTGGAATTGCTAAAAGTCATCAACTAGTGGTGATGGTATAACTGCTTTGTGAGGTGGTACAGTAAAGTAAGTACTTTTTTCTTTAATATTTTTGTAACACAATTTTTTTCAGAATTTCAGGAAAAAAAAGATGAAGTTGCTGTGACATACTCTGTTTGTATTAATAGTTCTAGTTTAAATTATTGATTTAAAACCTTATTTCAGGAAACTCATGAATAATGCGGATGAATACCAGGCACATGGCACAGTTTGACTAAACATTGAAATAATTTGTATTTAAAATTTAACATTCATGTCCTGTTAGGAACAATTTCCAGTCAATATGAATAAATTGAAAAATTAAATCGTTCTTTCAGACTTTGTCCAATCTTTCATAAGTAACCATCTTAATCATTTCATTGTATCATTCCTATAATTGTGGGAAAAATACCACCTTCCAACATTGAGGAATCAGATCTTGTCCAATAGGAGGTTTTAGACTAAATTGCTAACATTTAGTTTGCTTTCTGTAAAAAATAAGTTAGCTGACAGTAGAATGCTCAGGTTGAAAATTTTAATTCTTGAGGGCGTGAACCTTTCTAAGGTTTCTGCTCAAAGGGTGTTCCTGTAGCATGTTCATCAAATACCTCCAGATGCTCAACACCTCCAGTCTGTACTGCTATCTCTTGTATCACCTCTGTGCATTCTGTAAATAATTCTGTACACATTTGCCATGTAATATATCTTTCAGAAAAGGTTCTGTGACTGTCTGCAGTAGATAAAGTCCCTTATATCTCAGTTGTAGAAATCTTAAGAGTTCTCGCTCTGTGCTCAGAGTGGGGAGCTAGTCTAAAATCTTTATGACTATAATGCTATTGGTAGCAAGAAGACTATAAAACAGGGAAAAATCTAGTTCTTTGGATCTGCTTTTGTGGGATTTTTTTTGTTAGAACTTCAGGCAGGGCTTTGGAGCAGAGCCCGGAGCTGGAGCGCAGAGCAGTGGAGCTGCAGGTTTTTGCCCGGAGCAGAAGTGCAGCCTGATCACAGAAAGTCTTGACTGCTCCACTGCTCCAGTTTTTTTGTGTTTTTTTTTTTTTTTTTTTTTTTTTTTTTTTTTTTTTTTTTTTTTTTTTTTTTTTTTTTTTTTTTTTTTTTTTTTTTTTTTTTTTTTTTTTTTTTTTTTTTTTTTTTTTTTTTTTTTTTTTTTTTTTTTTTTTTTTTTTTTTTTTTTTTTTTTTTTTTTTTTTTTTTTTTTTTTTTTTTTTTTTTTTTTTCATTTTCAATCCAAAATGAATGATCGCAAGGAAGTCCTAAAGGTGCCAAAAAGTTTCAGATTGTATAACAATTGATATTAACATCTACTTTACTACTAATATGTCACTGTTATTCTCACTTTGGCCGAAATCAAGATTTAATGTACAGATAAAACATATCTCCAAAAAACTTTGTAATTTTGTAGTAATCAGATAATTATCAGACGTCCGGCAACACTGCAGACTGCTCCCACCCTTGTGCCAAGGTTAGGCGAGTACGTACTCGCGTAGATTAGTTAGTTAGATTAATATGTGTTTATTTTCAATCTTGTAATGTGTAGCCTCGTTACTTCCCAACAGTTAATGTTGTAGAACAGCGATAGCACGTACTAATGCTACGGCACATACCAAATTTCATTGATATATCTATGTTAAAGCATTTTTGAGAGAGTAATTAAAAACTTAGAAAATATTTTGAATATTTTTACTGCAAAATTTCATGAACTAACTTGCAATTTATAAATCAAATTTTATATTAATTATGTATATTAAAAATACTTCATTAAAACTGCAAGAAACATGTTAAAATATTAAAATATACTTTAATAATAATTTTGTGTAAAAAGAAAATGTGATCATTTTTGTCCAGAAAATCCAAAATAAATTCGAAGTACCTTAAGTGGTTAAGCTATCTCAAGCAGGTACATTATAAAAAAATGTAATGCTTTTTGTTCATTGCTTTTCAAAGATCATAACAAAAGGCATTTGGATACAGTAGCAGCACAAGAAGATTTGGCCATGGCTTCAACAAAAAAAATCAAATCTGCCCCCCATGATTGATAGCTGATTTACGGAAAAGGATCTCAACGATGTCTTTACTTGTGAAGACTTTGGGCTTTTGGGAAAAGCAAAGAAGAAATTGGCAAGGTGGAAAAGGAAGTGAATTGCGAGCTCAAACCATGTAGCTTCAAGACAAGTGAAGCAACTGCCGTGAAAAGTTTCAACCTTTGACAGCATGTAAAATGTAACCATCCTGAAAACTGTGTGTCTCTGGTTACAAAAAAGGACCTGGAAGATGAGGCAAAACAAAAGGCTGACGCTGCTAAACGACGTTCATCTGGCTCTTTGAAAACTCCTGGAGAAAAGATTTTCTGCAGAGCTTCACCTGAAAAGAAATCCAAAATTAGTCAAACAAAACTTGACTCATTTTTGAAGTCCTCAAAGGTAACAGTCACCATGGATGCCAATACTTTCCATGAAGGGCTGATGGAAATGGTTTGCTTGAGTTCAACACCGCTCACTACCTGCAGGCTAAAGAACAAAGGATTCAAAAAATTTGCAGGTGAAATGGGTCGGCAGGTTGGCGTTTCGACAGGGCACGATGCAGTTCATTATTTAGTTGTCAGCACAGCTGAGTCTGGTTGCAAAGAGCTCAAGAAAGCTTTGGAGCAAAAATTGTGCTACCTGAAAATGGATGCGGCAGCCCATGGAATCAGAAATTTCCTTGCAATCGATGCTCAGTATGACGAAGAAGGAAAAGATAAAGCTGTGGTAAAAACCTTAGACATAATCGACACTGAAGGGTGTCGCAATTCTTCCTACGTGAAAAGTCAAGTAAAAGCTATTTTAGAAAATTTTGGGATCAGTGAAATTCAAGTGCTGAGCATCTGTGTTGACAATGCAGCAAACATGACGTGTGTCATCAAAAATTTCAGCAAGGACAATGAAACCATTTCTACCTCTGAGAACAGGAATGTGGACAGAACTGAAGCTATTTTGCCTGATGAAGGAACTAAAGTAATGGATGAAATTGAACTCCACATTGCTACTGCCGCGCAGTGGGTTAATGACCCTAGCTAGCCTCATACTTCCAACATGGCTTCATGAGGACTACTCAAAAGTCCAACCAATGAGGTGTGGTATTCCAACTCTTCAGTTGGCAATCTGGGATGGAATGAACAAAGAACATGCGAAGAAATTTCTGGCAAAACTTCGACAAGTCGTCACTACGAACCCCAAGTATTCGAAGTGTTCTGCTTGATCTACATGGGGTAACTCAGTCATTAGAAACTATGACTCACTGGGGTTCAACATTTGCGATGTCTGATCAGCTTCTCGTTTTTCAATCTTACTGTGAACAAGTGGCGGCTGCTGCTGCTGCTGGAACAAGAGAACTCAAGTTAACAAAAGCTGAATGGGATGAAGTGGAGAACCTGCAAGACCTCTTGGCAAAACCAAACAATCATAAATCTTCAAGCTGTCAATGTAACCACAGGAGTTTTAATGAAGGAATGGTGAAAACTGTCAAAATTCTTGCAAGAAAATAGTGGACAAATTGCAGAAGGAATTCTGTCCTCTGTGCAGAAACGCGAAGAGAAGCTTTTTGACAATATTAATTTCCTTGATGGACTTTGTTGACCCACGGTATTGGATTCTTCTTACCTCAAGGGAAATACCAAAGGAAAAGGAAGGGCTCCTTGATATTGCTCGACAACTCAAAAAACAAAATCTATTGCTACATTTGAACTTGGCGAAAGAGGTTGAAGAAAACGAAACAACAAAAGGAGTCATCAACAATTGAATTTGCGGTTTCGGAAAGTTCACATCTTTCAGAAATAGCAGGCTGTTCTCAAACTTCCATCTCCACTCTGAACTTATTCGAGCATCCATCCCTGAGACGTCTTCAACCATCACAGGGAAATGGAGATAATTTAAGCACCAATTCTTCAGAAGATGACTACTTCAAAAAGGAATTGGATAAACAAGAAAGACGCCAGCGAGTTTCTGCGATTCATAATTGTAACGAAGCATTATTCGAGAGAAACTTTCAGGAAGATTGTGAAGCGATGAAGTCTATTGGTAGGCTAAAAGTTGTCTGTTTTTGAGGCCATTCACAGCTACCCAGACGGCATTCAGGCTGCCTGGAGAATTGCTTTGAGCATGCCAACAACTCAAGGTAGTGTAGAGCGACTGTTTTCGGCTTTAAAGTTAATTTTAAATGATCTGCAGCAGCTATGAAAGACGACTGGATTGCTGCAATAATTTTTTTACAGATTGAATTATGAATGATTGTTGATGACATTTACATTGTTTTAAAACTCTGAATAAAAATAATGTTTTTTCAAAATAACAGTATGCACTTTTTTATTTCGTTAAATAATTTGAGTCCGAGTGGAGCTGGAGTAGTCACTATCGGTGCTGGAGCGGAGCAATTCAAAAATTTGATTTCTCCAAATCCTTGACTTCAGGATTCTAATGTTTCATAGGGAACCACTTAAGGTGGGTTTTCTAGAAACAGAATAGCACTAACTAAATTGATAGTAAACTGTACAGTAGAGTCCAGATTATCTGACCTTTGGTAATCTGACATTCCGCTTTATCCAACATAGCCACCCTGTGCTGCTATGCCGCATGCAGCCTCCCCGGCTGAAGAGGCTCCAGCAGTCTCCCGCAGGTCAGAGCATCCTTCCAGTGCCGCTTCATCCCCATCCCTGCCTGGCTCTGGCCCCTTTCCTCCCTGCAGCTCCCAGGCATGGGCCGGAAGAATGGCCCCGCTTGCGGCCCCGTCACTCTCCTGGCGCCGCTGATGCCGCTCCTGCCGGCGCCACTTCGTCCCCGGGAGCTGCAGGGAGGGAAGGGGCCAGGGCCAGGGCCAGGCAGGGATGAGGATCAAGCGGTGCCAGCTACAGTAGAGTCCCTATTATCCTATTATTGTTCTGCTTGTTGAATAACTTGGATATTTCAGGATTATCAGCTAGTGATCAGGGATCATACTCAGTTTCATGTAGTTATCTAAGCATACTGCAATTGTTTAATTGAAATAACACACATTTTCAATATTGATCATACAGCAACTACAATCTCCGATTTAAAGCATTTCAGGTGGAGGCACATAGACTGGGATTACATTCTGCCTATGCTTTGTGTAAAATGGAATTATAAACTTTTTAATGACTTTCAGAATGTTCTAAAAGGATATTATGATTTGATAGCTGCAGTTACCATGTTTAGGATAAAAAAATCACTGCATAGTTGCTTAAATAGTATTTGGCCATTAAATTCTTCCGAGCTGTCAGCCGACGGTCAGGGCAGTGTGTGTGTGTATGTTTCCGAGAAAAGGTTTAACGTCCGTGCCTTTACTGCTAGGACCGGGGTCCCATCGCAGAGGGTGGCCAGCAGGCCAACAGACGCCCCGTTATATAGGAAGAGCTTATTACATCTTAGATTTCAGCTGCTAGAATTCATAATTCCTTCGCAGCGGGCAGCCTTGGAGAAAGACTGAAAGATGCCCCAGTGGATCCTGTCACCTGGGAGTGACACAGATCCAAACGCCCAAGCTCTTCCTATAACTGTTCCTTTAGACTGGCTGAAGTTCTTTTAAATTGTGCTTGGTTCTGTTACAGCAACTGAAGGAGGCAGGTTAAAGCTTAAACAGTTACAGGTTTATTAAAGAAGCTTATAAATCATATGGTTGCAATGGCTATTGTTCTATTTCTTAACTATTAGCAAAATATAGATCTTAAAAATGGTTACAAAGAAGATAAAGATAGAAAAATAGAAATAATGGTACCAAGTAACAGCTTACTCTTTCTATGTGTACACTTAAGACAGAGGACCACATCCAGGTACAATTTTTACCCCCTTCTGTGCCTCTCGACTCCAGCATGTCAGGCCAGGGCCGGTCCCTCAATTCCTAGGAAAGACGAAAATACGAGGTGGGCGTCCCCATAGAACCTCGGGAGGTCAAACACCTAACCCGACCAGCAGGTAGAGGGTAGAATGACACTCAAAGTGAGTGTGTGCTGGGCCCATCTTTTATACTCATGGGGTCACGTATTTCTCTTTCTTATCTGTAATGCCAATTGATGCTGGTCTGTCTGCTGTGAGACCAGTTCTTACAAGGGAGTTGTGAACTTAATTTACACTTGTAAGAGAGATAACTAAATTAGAATTACTGGGGATTCTTTTCTCAGTGGGAAATTCCTCTTCCAGGGACTGTGTGTGTGTTCGAATCAACATAGGTCCCAGCCGGTGGCAGTCTCGCATATCCTGATCTCTCCTCATATCTGTTTCAGTTTCTCAGGATCAGATGAGCCAGCATAGACTATGCTGATTTTACTGCTCCTTCTCTGCCCTGTATGCTTCAGAGAGGTAAATAAGATGGATGTGATGGAGGCGGGCTGTCTGGCCACACGAGCATGCCACAAAAATAAATCCATGTATAAATCATATTGCCAACTGCCATAAATGATATTCATTAATAAGAACCGCCATACTGGGTCAGACCAAAGGTCCATCTAGCCCAGTATCCTGTCTGCCGACAGTGGCCAGCACCAGGTGCCCCAGAGAAGGTGGACCGAAGACAATGATCAAGCGATTTGTCTCCTGCCATCCCTCTCCAGCCCCTGACAAACAGAGGCCAAGGACACCATTTTATCCCCTGGCTAGCCTTTTATGGACCTAACCTCCATGAAATTATCTAGCTTCTCTTTAAACTCTATTATAGTCCTAGCCTTCACAGCCTCCTCTGGCAAGGAGTTCCACAGGTTGACTACATGCTGTGTGAAGAAGAACTTTCTTTTATTTGTTTTAAACCTGCTACCCATTAATTTCATTTGGTGTCCTCTAGTTCTTCTATTTAGGGAACTAATAAATAACTTTTCTTTATCGGCCCTCTCCACACCACTCATGATTTTATATACCTCTATCATGTCCCCCCTCAGTCTCCTCTTTTCTAAACTGAAAAGTCCCAGTCTCTTTAACCTCTCCTCATATGGGACCCGTTCCAAACCCCTAATCATTTTAGTTGCCCTTTTCTGAACCCTTTCCAAGGCCAAAATATCTTTTTTGAGGTGAGGAGACCTCATCTGTACACAGCAGCCCACTTCAATATAAAGAAAAAACTCCCTCACTATACCCATCAAATTAACTGTTTGAGCTTTGTAGGATATTTTCTTTGGTGTGTATATATAATATGTATATATTTGAAGCTTGTGTAACTAGGGCTTGAAAAATCCACTTGCCATGATGATTAGAAAACTCTCTCTTGGATGACTGCCATCTTCTGCGGCATCTGAGCTTTTAATAATATGGTTATTATCATTTCAAAAGTAATTTATCAACTGAGGTTAAGATGACAAGTGCTCTTACGAGCTTGACTGCAGGCAGCTTCCACGACTGCAGCAGAGTGCAGATGACCAGGATTCTTGTCAATTTCTACTGCCATGTTTCATATCCTTGTTTTTAGAAGTGAAACTAACAAGGATAGAAGAACATAAATTGTTGGGCAAAAGTGAACATGGTTTCTGTAAAGGGAAATCATGTCTTACTAATCTGTCTACACTTGCACCGTAGCTTGAACTAGGGATGCAAATGCAGGCATTCGAAATAGTCAATGAAACGGGGATTTAAATATCCTGCGCTTCATTAGCATGATCTCGCCGGTGTGCTAGTTTGAATCACAGCTGATTTGAACCAGGAAGTGCATGCTGGGACGCAGTAGTTCGAACCAACCCCCTTGGCTCTAACTAACATCATTCCTCATCTTTTTACCTTAACAAAGAGATAGTTAAGAGGTGACTTTAATTACTGTGTATAAGTACATGTATGGGAAACAAATATATGTGCTCTTTTACCTGTCCGAGAAAGATATAACATCACCCAATGGCTGGAATGCGAAGTCTGACAAATTCAGACTGGAAATAAATTATAGACTTTTAACAGTAAGAGTAATTAACTATTGGAAGAGTTTAACAAGAGTTGTGGTGGAGTCAAGATTTGGGGGCGGGCAATTTTGAGTTGATGGTTTAAAAAAATAGTCTAGGAATCCTGTTGTTGCCTGTGTTACACAAGAGGTCAGACTAGATTGTCACAGTGGTGAGTTCTGCCTTTGGAATCTCTGGGGTTTGAGGGAGGAATGCTGGAAGGACAGCAGTGGGACAGAACTGCAAAAATTGCTTTCTGGCTGTTGCAAGCAAGAATAAAAGAGAGGCAAGTTACAGAGGTGCAGCTAGATCACAGATTTGCAATTAAAGGCATTCTGCTAATATCAAAAAGAGATGCTATTTTTCCTGTTACAAGAGAAAAAGAAGAATATCTTTAGCTTACCCTGGCCAAATTCCCCTCTGCAATGATGACAGCCTCAATAATAATACATTACAAATGTTGCTTATTGAGAGAATTTAGGAGTATCCATAAATATCTTAGTAATCTGAATAACTACAAATAAACAAAATCACAATTCTTTCAAATAAGTCAAATCTGTAATACAGTGAAATATCAGGAAAGTTTCCATTCTTATCCACACATTTCTTTGCTAAACTAAAGGGAAAGCACTTTTTGTTTTTATTTATTTATTTTGCAGTACTGCCAGAACTTATGATGCAATATATTAAATTACATGACCATTTAAAATTTCTGTATAATAGCATGCCTCCTTTTTGGGTGCTCATTATCACTATCAGCTTTTGTCACGTTAATAGGCTGTCATTAAAGTCTAATTAAGAACAGCCCATTCCAAATTGATATATTCTTAAGTAAAAAGCTCTAGGTTTAGAAGTATTTTCTGGTCTCTTACTATTTTGGCTTAACGGGACTAAAGTTTTTGGGGCTGCAATTACAACCACAAAATAATCACAGAAACATGACCTTAAGATCATCTAGTCCAGCCCCTTGTGGCCTAGAACAGTCGATGCATTTTGCATCAACTAGTTGATGGGGTGCCTCGCCTTTGAAGTGTAGCAACAGTCCTAGGGTTCAAGTAACGCTGCTGCTTTGAAGTACCCCTTTGTGCCCCCCCCTTGCTGACTAGACAACTATCTGATAGAGCAGAAATCACTAGATTTCTGTTAGGGTACATCTAGACTACATGCCTCTGTCGCCGGAGGCATGTAGATTAGGCTACCAGACATAGTAAAATGAAGCGGCGATTTAAATAATCGCCGCTTCATTTACATTTACATGGGCGATTTAAATAATCGCCACTTCATTTACATTTACATGGCTGCCGCGCTGAGCCGACAAACAGCTGATCAGCTGTTTGTCGGCTCAGCGCGGCAGCCATGTAAATGTAAATGAAGTGGCGATTATTTAAATCGCCGCTTCATTTTCCTACGTCTGGTAGCCTAATCTACATGCCTCTGGTGACAGAGGCATGTAGTCTAGACATACCCTTAGAATAGAACAATTAGAAGTGTTTCTATTCTACAGACTTTGGAAAAACCATAGCATTCAAAGTTTTGTCTCAAAGATATCTAGGTAAAATGTGCTCTGTTTTTGAATGATTGAAAAAGTAGTAAATAAACTTTTCACATTAATAAAAATAGCTTCTTGTCGTTTTTGTAGGGCATTTAAGTATGCTTATGTAGTTTACACTTAATTGAGAACACAGTATGAGCAAAAGTAATTTCAATGTATCAGTTTTTACTTGCTTTGTTAGTTGCAATGCAGTATAGTTTTGAGTAGCTCCTAAAAGCATGTTCACAGATAAACACAAGACAAGACCCGAATTTCTAATACAAAAAGCAAGGGAGGGGGAAGCTTTCGAAGAACAGAAAAACTGATGCAGGATTTATATATATTTAAAAATGCCTTTTCTGTTTTATGAGGCATTCAATATACTACATTTTGTGTCTGCCAAAATGGTAGAGAAAGCTGTAAAAGTCAGTCTAGGAAGATAGCAGGTCTAATATTTTATTCCATCAGAAATATCTCTTCATAAAATTTAATTTTTGGTTCAGGTAAAACAAGTATTCAGATATTATGTGAAATTTAAAAATACAGTAAATGGGCTGACAATAACTTCGTGAACACACTCTTACTATAGTGTCTTTGCTTTTAAATATGTTCTGCCAATTTAGAACCGGACAGGTTATTCCAGAATCATAGAACTGGAAGAGACCTCAGAAGGTCATCAAGTCCAGCTCCCTGCTCTAGGCAGGACCAATTCCAACTAAATCAACCCGTCCAGGGCTTTGTCAAGCCGAGACTTAAACACCTCTAAGGATGGAGACTCCACTACTTCCCTAGGTAACCCATTCCAGTTCTTCACCACCCTCCTAGTGAAATAGTTTTTCCTAATATCCAAGCTGGACTTCTCCCACCACAACTCGAGACCATTGCTCCTTGTCACTACATATTTTGGGCCAAGTAGAGATGCAGAGTAAATAAAAAATTGCTGTAGATTTTGGCCAAAATATTGCTGATTTAAAGGTAAATTTTACATCAACTCTGAATAGCTTCTGAGCAAATTCTTTGGGATTTGTTGCATCACACATTAAGAAGGATAAGCTGGTAGTATTTATTGGAAACACAAAGATTTATTTGTTTGGGCTTTTTAAAATTTCAACTGACTAATTTTGTGCTCTGAATACTATCCAAGAACACTCCCTAATATAGTTAACTTCAGGTTGACTCGCTCTCCTTTGAGACCTGGCTGATGCTGAACCATAGGAGGTCAATATCATCTAGCAGAATTACCAACACTTTCACAGCTTACTGTACTCTTAAGGGTAAATTAGAGCTAAATAACAGCATAGAACAGCTGTAAATAAGCTTTATGGGACTGTCAGAAAATTGGCCACACCCATGATAAGTAGACCTCCGACTAACTAAAATCAAGCCAGACCATGGATGTTGCCAAACTAGAGAGTTCAACCTGTAGTTGGTTTTCTGTACAAATGAAAGAAATAAGATGTATGGCACAAATTAGTCTTTGGGTTTAGAGGATAAAATGCTGCCAAGTGAAATGTAGCCATTCAGTATAATTTGTGGTAATGAATGAACAGCAAGCTGTTTTGGGCGCAGTACAACTTTATCCATACAGGCATCATTGAATAGTGCCAGGGAAATTGTGATGCAAACAAAAAATGACATGTTCACATGAATGGAGCAATCTAGGCATGTATGTTTTTTGCAGTGTTCAAGCAGACATGGCCACTGAACAATATGCATCAGTGATTGATTTGGCTAACTTTAAAAGAGTAAGAATTTATGGTTATTTCTAACAATCTCTACAATGGTTGATTTTTTTCCTTCCAGCTTCTTTGAATAATAATTTTCCACTGTTAACTATCCATTTGAAATAACTTGTGAAGTAAAACTTGAATCCAGTGAATATGCTAAGGTAGTTCAAGTTAATTTCCCATACGTGGATGATCTGGGTATTAATCTCTGATCTGGGTATTAATCATGAGGTATTAGAACTGTTTATTCCACTATAATAAGGCTCCTATTGAGTTCAGACTTCCGCTTATTCAGTGCTGAAGCATTGTACATTAACCCCTGTTTACTGTACCTCTTTTGTAGAGAGGCTAAGTGTTACTGCCACCTGTAAAAGAAATGCAGAAGGAAGGAAGGGATTGCTATAAGTACTTAACTGTTGCTGTCACTTCTCAGTACAAAACAGTTTTCCCACTAAATTGAGAATTCCATTCTAGATTAGTATTATCATTTAGATTAAGAAGAGAAAATGTTTGCAGACCTTAAGTATTCCTACTAGTAGGTACTTAAAGTCCATGCTATGTAGATCTCTATAAATACTGCCCTCCGAAAACAATTACAGATAAACATTTTCTTGCTGCATGAAATACTTTTCAGTTGGACAATTTGTTAAAACTAAAGCTGTTGGGCAGTGGTCCCTCCAAATAATCTTTATTTAAAGAAAGATCCTTGTATGTAGAATGGACATTTTCTCTTATTCTTGATTAAACATCATTTTCTTAAAGACACATTTTATTTAACTATCTTGTGTTTGATTTTGAGTGTAAGTTGACCAGCACCCAAGAGTTTCACATTCCGGGGGGTGGGGGGAGGGAGGGGAATGTGTGAACTTTGCCAGTTAAGTTGGATTTCTTATGGTAAAAAGTGGCTCCTTCCAGAAATCTCTGTATCTCTTAAAGGGCACTGTCAGCTACTTGGAAAATATATATATATATATATTTTTGTTGCTATGCTTTGTAAACTTCTTTTAAGAGGCTTTTAAACCTTTTTGGGGCTCTTGTACATTCCAAAGGAGGAATGCAGAACTCTGTGTGCAGTCTGGGGCCAGCAGGGGCTCTTCTGCATGTCAAAGCCACAGCACCCTAGTGGAACCCGGAGTCAGCTGGGGACTTCCCAGCTGATCCCAGTTCCACTGAAATGCTGGGCAAAGCCCTGGATTAGCTGGGGAGTCCCCAGATAACCCTGAGCTCCACGTGCTTTGAAGTACCTCTTCTCTCCCCTCCGCCCCCTTTGCTGCCTCTATAGAGGCAGCAAGCAGGGGGGAGGGGAGGAGATCGAGTAGTCAACTGACTATTCAATAGGCATTTGCTTATCTGATAGTTGACTAGTCCTTAATATCCTTATTGAGGATAATTAGGGAAGCATGGAAATTCATTCTGAAATGCAGAGAAGAAATGCCAGGGATAGCTGATAACTATTGTGTAATCTTTACAGCTTGGTAAACCTATTTTTATTTCCTTTAAGACTCCCCTTTTTGTTTTCTGTTTCCCAATTAATTGTTTCATATTTCCCAATTAATAAATCCTTTTAATACTCATTTTTTTTCCTTTAAAATTTCTTCTTCCCTCTTAGTCTTGGCTCTTTTCACTGTCATCACATAGCCATTCATTCTATGTAAACCACCCTTCTATTCCTAGGAAAGATCATGTTCTTGTTTATCCTAGATCCCCACTCCTTAATATTTCTGTTCTCTTCTCCTGAAAGACCTGATGTACCTTCTGGCTGAGGAAGTAGGCTTGCTAGTTCATGCATTCTGAGTTCTGTCCCATGCATATTTTTCTGACCATTGCTCAGACTACAAATTGTGAGCATTCAGATATTAGTTTGATGGACTGGTCCATCTTGAGGATTTTAACAAAACTAGAAATATAACTTTATTAATGATGTTTTTGGTAGCCTCCTTTCCATTTCAAGTTGCAGTCTCAAAGACTTAACTAAGTGTCCGCAACAGTGTGCATACGTATTTATAGTTGAAATTTGGAATTCAGCTGATGTTTTTTTTATATGTGACTTAAAAGTTTCAAAGAACAGTTGTGTATTATCACTGATTCTAGAGTATTTATGCTTCTACCATGGACATGGTGACCTACTATTTAGACTACCTTTTATAAATCTGATCCAAAAGCTTTTTGGATAATCAGGGGAAGAGGGGTGAGGAATACATATATTTTTAAAAAGTATAATCCGTGTCTGATTTTTGCAGGGAGGCAACAATGCTGGGCATACTGTTGTTGTAGATTCTGTGGAGTATGATTTTCATCTTTTACCCAGTGGGATCATCAATCCAAAAGTTACTGCATTCATTGGTGAGTATGACATTTTCCAAAGCTGCAATTTTAACACCAATACAAGTCCAGACTTTTGGAGTTCTTTTCTTGAAGCCATCGACATCTGCAATACCTCAGGGCATAGGAAG